CCCCTCCTCTCCTCTCCTCTCCTCTCCTCTCCTCTCCTCTCCTCTCCTCTCCTCTCCTCTCCTCTCCTCTCCTCTCCTCTCCTCTCCTCTCCTCTTCTCTTATTCTCTCTTCCTGCCTTACTTGGCTGTCAAGTGCGGAGGAACTGTATCAACGTGCAGTAGGATGGGCACCGGTGGGTCGTTCACATTGAAATATTCTGCAATCAAGGTTTGAAATTGTCATTTTGAAATTCAGTCCGCCCCTGGATATTTCACCGTGGAATATCACGACCTGAGAAATTCCACTGGGCTCCTTCCATCTCGGCTGGAGTACGCAGGTGGGCTTCAGCTGGGGTGTGTGTTGATGTGACAGCGAGTGTCTTCCAGCTGTCTTGTACAACTTCGGCGCTCTCTTGCATGACGGGAGGAGGGACCTGCAACTTGCCAAGTGAGGGGTTCACTTCTCAGCAACTCCTCCTCTCACCGCCTGTCAGAGCCATGTACAACCTGGCGCTGCAGTATGACCCTCACAAGTCGGAGCTGCTGAACAACATGGGAAGCGTTCTGGCCCAGCTGAAAGGTGGGGGTTCAACAGTTACAGCGTGTCCTCGCTCATTGTTGGTGCCCAATCAGAGTATGAGGCTGCTGAGAGCATGTATCGTCGTGCCATGACGTCCCGCAACGCGGAAGAGAACATGGTGACAACATGCCACAACTTTGGGATCCTCCAGGTAGGAGAACGTTGGCTCTGAGTTCTTCTTCTCATCCTCCTCTACAGGCTGAGCGAGGTCGGATCGACAAGGCTGCAGGTCTGCCGAGCAGCAAGTCCCTCCCCCGCTCTGCTGACATGCCTCTAGAGCTTCTCAACAAGGCTCTCCAGCTCGACCCCTTCCACATCCCCACCTGCCTGACTGTAAAGACCCCTGCTTCCTCCTCTTCACCAGCTAAGACGATATGACTCAGTACGGGCGCCTCCTGCTCGAGACAAAGATGGATACGGATGGGTGAACCTGCTTCCCGCCCCCAACCGTTCCTCTCCGCTCCCTTGCCCCTCTGCTCTGCTCGTCTCTCCTTCCTCGTCTTCCTCCCCTCTCCTCCTCTCGCCTCGCTGCTGCTTCAGGAGATCATGCCCCTTCAGGGCCGAGCGGATGTACAAGAGAGCGTTGAGGAGGAATCCAGGGCAGATTCACGCGCTCGTTGGGTTTGCCCAGGTGGAGGGAGCTGAGAAGAGTCGGAGGGTGAGGAGGATTGCAGGTGTGCGAGGTGAAGGGAGACGTGGAGATGGCAGAGGAGTTCTATGCGAGGGCTACTGACTTCCACGAGGACAACATGGGTGAGGGCCTGTGCTGGGGGTGAGCTGGGGGTTTGTGATGACGTGTCACATGCCAGACGCGCTGATTCACAAGGGGCTCTTCCACGAGCTGAGCAGAAAGGAGGTGAGAATTCCCAGCTGAGGAGGCGCGGTGCTAAGCAGCTGCCTTCCAGATCCGGCAAGCCGATGTGCTCTACAGCAGAGCTCAGGAGCTTGATTCAGTCAGAGCAAGAGAGAGGTTGGAGGAGGAGCGAGTGAGGAGCGAGTGAAAGGGCATGCCAGGTACGACCTGCTCCTCCCTCGCCATCAGAAGATCGTCTCGCTCGCCCTCAAGTACCGGTACGATGCTGCTTTCCTGCTATTGCCCAGCTGAAAAGTTTTCTCCAGCTCAATGAAAAGTCGGGAAGAAGGACTTTCCAAGCACCAGAGCGTCGGGAGCTTCCTCGGCCGCTTCCTCCACTACCGTCCTCCTCTCCTCTCCGCATGCTTCGGCTTGGCTGCTCCAGAGTCCCGAGACTCCGAACGTGCAAGGTCCAGCTCAGGGGACAGCAGGAAGCAGCCGAATCAAGAGGAAGCGACGACTCTCGGGTCCGTCATGGCAGCGGCAGAGCGTCTCTTGGCGCGCGTCAAAGCCTTCCTGGGAACCCCCCAGGACTTCGTCAGCTCGACCCTCGAGCACGAGGAGGAGAAGGACGCGGGCGCTGCCTCAAGTGACAGACCATCGGCTGCCACCGACGTCTCGCCCAAGTTGCGGTCCTCGGAGGCGACGGTGGAGGAGCTGCGGGACGGGAGAGGTCAGGGAGGCAAGGAGGGTCCGGCGGAGATTTCAGCCCAAAGTCGATGCGAGTCAAGCCTGGACGTGCTGTACAACACTGACTTCGACGAGAGGGTCGCGCGGGTGATCTGAATCTGAAATTTTCTTCTTCTCACCCCCTCTGCCATTCTGACGAGTTGCTGCAGGCGAGGTCGTGGGATGAGATACGGGAAGTCACTAAGGTGAGTCGGCAGCTCCCGGCGTCCTTGTCCTCATAACCGAACAGGAATACTTGCGAGGCACGAAAGCCAGCGATATCAAAGGAGTACTGGAGGTAGAGAGAGCTCCTGCTCCTGCTCCTGCTCCTGCTCCTGCTCCTGCTCCTGCTCCTGCTCCTGCTCCTGCTCTTGCTGCTCCTGCTTCTACTCCTTTTTCTGCTTCTTTTCCTCCTGCTCCTGCTCCTGCTCCTGCTCCTGCTCCTGCTCCTGCTCCTGCTGTTTGTTCCTGCTTGTGCACCATAGATTTCAATCCCCTCTCTGCCCTCGTTCCGTTTGCGTTCTTCACTTCTCCTTCCCTCTCCCTCTCCCCTCCTCTCCTCTTGCCCATCTCCCCCAGATCCCTCGCACCCTCCGTCGCTCCTGACCATCGGCAGGCCTTCCGAGGAGACCCGAACATGGAGGAGGAGCTGGAAGAGCCTGACCTCCTTGCCGACGACCACGGGCAGCTGGAGGAGAACGAGCACGTGGAAGCTGTGGCTGAGCAGCAGAAGAAGTCCCGGTAGGGAGGAGGAGGAGGAGGAGGAGTGAGGGGGTTGGGGGAGGGGGAGGAGGGAGGGGGTTGGGGTTGGGGGAGGGAGGAGTGATGACGTGTAATGCAGGACGGCCGATGAGGAAGGAGGAAAGAGGCAGGAAACAAGTGAGGATCTAAAGAGAGGGAGGGAGGAAGGGAGAAGGAAGGAGGGAGGGAGAGGGTGGAGGATCGAATTGCGAATAATGTGCAGGAGCAGGTGGAGTGGAAGGGAAGACGACGGAGGAGCAGGAGGAGAAAGCCAAGTAAGGCTGCTTCATCAGCAGGCTGCCTGTTGACATGTCACCAGACCGGACGCGAACGCGGAGGACGCGAAGAGGATGGAAAAAGAAGGAACTCAAGCTGATATTCGAAACTTCACCACCAACGTTTGAGGATGAGAGAGCAAGTTTGATGTCTAACTCCTTTCCTTCTCTCCCTCTCTCCCTCTCCTCCTCCTCTCCTCCTCCTCTCCTCCTTCTCTCCTGCTCTCTTCTTATGCTTTGCCTCCCCCTCTCTCCCTGCCCCCGTTCCTCTCCCTCTCGTTCCCTCAATCCCATCCAGCTCCTCTCCCCAACTTTTGTCGTCATGTTGAATTTTCCTCTCTTCGGCTGGCAAGTAAATCTCTACCGCCCTGTCTGCTTCTCCAACCCTCTCCGCTCCTGCGTCAGCCTGCTCACGATCCTAATAGCTCTCTTCATCCTCTTCCCTTTCGTTGTGCTCCTCTTCGCTCCTCTTCCCAGCTCCTCCAGCGATCTTTGCGCCTGCTCCGAGTCAAGCCTGACAACCTCCACATCCCTCAGCTCAACCTTTTCCCAGGCTTCTGCCGTTCCTCCCGGGTTCTCTTCGTTGAGTTTGACATCCTGAAGCTCGTCAGCTCCGCCCGGCCATCCCCCCCGAACTCCCAGCTCACCTCCACCATGATCGCCGCATCCATCTTGCGGAAGTCGGACCGGGCGCCGGCAATCCCAGCCAACACCGTCGGGAGGAGCTGAGAAACGCCTGTCAACCTCAGCTGGGATAGGGGTCGGGGAGGTACCTGGCGGGTGAGGTGCGGGAAGTGAGCGAAGATGTACTTGAAGGCGTCGGCATGCAGAGAAAGTTTGCGGGTGAAGAGGAAGGTCGTGAGAGAGGCGTTGATCAGCGGCAAGGCCTTCGACCCAGCTGGGCTGTTAGGTGGGATACACCTGAGCGAGAAATGTCAAGAGAAAGCCAAGGCAAGGGCGGGAAGGAGGTTCAGGAGGAGGAGGGAGAGGAGAGGAGGGAAGGAGGAGTGGGAGGAGGAGCAAAATACCGCAGGGTGTAAAAGATGGCCCTTGTTGCCTGTTCGTGCTGTCAGCTGTCCACCCGAACAGGAAGGTCAAAGCGCTTCATACAGCTTCACGGAAGGCTGGTAAGGAGGAGGAGGAGGGCCGGGAGAGGAGCTGGAGCGTGTTGTTCAAGATTATCAAGGCCCTTGAGACGCAAGTCAGTGGAGGAGGGAGGAGACAGACGAAGTTCACGTATCAGACACGTCAGAGGACGTGGTGAAGGTTCCCGAGGGAAAGAAGTCCTTGCTGATGAGCTTGGCGACCAACAATGAGGGTGGGAGGATCGAAAAGACGAACTCACGAGATGAAAGATCTTGTCTCGTAGACCACTCTTGACCATGACAGGGTCCGAGTGACACCTTGACAAGGAGGGTCAGAAAGAAAGACGTCAAAGTGACGCGAGGTGGGGCTCACTGGTACAAAACTTCCAGTAGAGCTGCTGTGGTCTCAAGTATTTGCTGATGGTCTGAATGATGGGACAAGACCCAAAGTTTCTCCAGGCACGAAGTCAGTCGGGAGGGACAGGAGAAGGCAGAGGCAGAGTCATGGAGGAAGAGGAAAGTGGGGAAGTGATAAGGAAAGGTAGTGAGGAGGAGGAGGAGGAGGAGGAGGAGGAGGTCCGGAGAAGATTAGGGGAGAGGAGGGGGGAAAGGAGTGAGAAGAGGCGGGCAAACTGCTTTGCGCAAGAACGAGATGGGAAAGGAGAAGGTTAGAAGAAGGAGGTGAAGAGAGGAGGAAGGGGGAGGATGGAAGTAGAAGAGGAAGGGGGAGGGGGAGGATGGAAGTAGAGGAGGAGGGGGGAGGGGGAGGATGGAAGTAGAGGAGGAGGGGGAAGGGGGAGGATGGAAGTAGAGGAGGAGGGGGGAGGGGGAGGATGGATGGGGAAGAGAAACTGGTCAGAGGACTGAGGTTCTCAAGCTTACCAGCATCTCTACCATCCTCGATCGGAAATGCTCCCATTCCAGCTGATTCGGTCCTGCGCCTGCTTCCCCGCGCTTGGAGGAGAGCGCCCTGCGACTAGTCAAGCTCGCAGGAGAGGAAAGTAGAGGAGACCCACATCGTTACAGTCTTGTCCAGATACTGGAGATCTTCAGACTCCTGCAGCCAACGATTCACAGGACGGATTGAAGTGGAGGAGAGGAAGGGGAGGAGGGAGAGAGAGGAGGGAGAGAGAGTGGACTGAAGGGGAGGAGGGAAGGAGGGGAGCGAGGTAGGTAGGTCAGAGCAGAGCAAAGGGGAGGCATTCGTGAAAAGAAAACTGACAGCCTGAGATAGGGGAATGCTGAATCTTTCGCTCTTTTCTTCCTCGCTGTCCGACAAACATGTACATCAGTTGAAGAAGCTGCAACGAGGAGGATGGAGAGGGATAGACGATGGAGAGCAGGAGGGCAAGGATGAGAAGGGCAAGGGGGAGGAGGAGGAGGAGGTGGTGGTGGTGATGGCATGGAGGAGGAGGTAGAGGTGGTGGAGGAGGATGAGGTGGTGGTGAAGGAGGAGGAGAGAGGAGGAGACGTGGGTCAAGGAGGACTACGACGGAAAGAAACTACCTCTTCTCCCCAAGCTTCTGGTCAGGGCTCAGCGCATCAAAATCGATGCTCGACTCGTTGGTCGACCTGGAGACGTCGATCTCCATAGCATCGCTCGACTCCCCCTCCTCCTCCTTCTCTTCCTCTCCCCCTTTCTTGCCCCCCTGCCCTTCCTCTGCCTGTCTGCCTCCTTCGTCAAGCTCTTGCAAGGAGCGAAAGAACGGCAGCTTGCCCCGCAGCGCCGTCGACTGCAAGACCCAGGTCATGATCCTGAGGCTGACGTGCGAGCAGGAGGAAGCGACGTTCTTCATCGAGCTGATGGAAACTTCCCGCAGGATAGAAGACTCCTTGCTGAGGAGGTGAGTGAGGAGGTTGCAATACAGCAGCTCCATCTTCTCCTCCTCCTCCCCTGCCTTGACGCTACTGTGAGCCCATAAATCCTCCAGGTAGCCTGCGAGGTCGGACAGAAGCTCGTCCAGCTCACCTGGCGTTTTCAGCTTTGAAGGAGGACGTCAGCTCACCGGAGGAGGACGGAAAGGTCAGGTACCTGGAGGAGAGAGATGAACGAGAGGAGCTGTGAAACCTCGCTGCTCAACTTGACTCTCGGGGATGACACTTTTTCCTTCTCCTCTCTCTTCTCTTTCTTTTTCTCCTCCCGCTTCCTTTTCCCTTTCCCCTTCTCCTCCTCCTCTGCCACCTTGAGGAGGATGCTTTTGAACTCGGTCAGTTTCCTTCGCTTTCTCCGTTGCTCCTCAGTCAGAGCAGTCTCAAGGGAAATCTTCTTGCTCCCTCCCTCCACGATCTTGTTGCAGACCTCCTCCACGTCGCTCGGAGTTGTAAGGGGGCCGCTGCTGACCTGAGAAGAGTTTGAGACTCTGACGGGAAGGTTGACCCTCGTTGAGATCAGCAGGCCGAACAGTCGGTCGACGCAGAGGTTTCTGCTTGCTTTTGACAAGCTGCCGACTAGATCGAGTAGGGTCAACTCGCACGATCCTTGCATGTAGGAAGGCAGCAGCTGTTTCCAATCCTTGGAAGACCCGCCGATGAAGAAGGAATGTCTGCAGAGGAAGAACAGAAAGTCGTTCACTGTCGGGGCACGGGATGTGACGTTGGAAGGGAGGACAGCGATAGCTCTCAAGGCCTCCTCCAGCATCTCTCGCCTTATCTCCTCGACATCTTGGGGGGATGAAACGTGCTTGTTCGACAACTGCAGCTTCGTCGAGTCGCTGAATGAAGCGAGGGCAAGTTTGATGTAGCCGACCAGTTGAGTTGAATTCATGCCTGCGAGCAGCGACTTGGTGACTTGCGTTCGGCTCTTCTTGTCAAAGTTGGGATTCTTCTTCAACATTGTAGAAGCCAAACTGAGGCAGAAATTTCAGGAACAGCACATTACTTGAAGGAAGAACAGAACAACACTTGAAGAGAGAACAGAACAAAACTTGGAGGCGGAAGAAACAGAGATTCACTAGAAGAAAACTTTGGCGCATAGAAGTACACGTCTCACTGATAGCAAACGTCCGATGGGAGCGCAACAGAGATCTTTCTTTCCATCCATTGAGTCAAATTCTTGTTCAGCTGACACTCACGTCAGACTTGAGATACAAAAACTCATCCAACGACCTTCACCGTCGCAGCAGAACCTTTAGAACCCTCTAGAATACAGGAGATGCTGTTTGGAAAGATGAAGGGGAGCCGCTGCAAGCACCAACTCTCAGCGACAGGGAAGAAACATTCTCAGTCGCCACCTCCGATGGGAAAACTTTCCAGCACAAGGAGAGGAGCTGGAGCTTGAAGCCGATGGTCTGCTGGGAAACGCAGTGCTGCCATAGTGCACTGAACCTCTTGGAGAAAGTCGACGTCAAGTCTCCTCCCTTCTCGACCTCTCTTCCTTCACTTGCGATCGATCTCACAACCTGTACTATCACAGTCATTCCGATCATTTGCCCACGTAGCCCTGCCATTGCCTCCTTACACTACAACTCTTTTTCCTGTCCCCCTCCCCCCCCTCCCGCACCTCCTCCTCCTCCTCCTCCTCCTCCTCCTCCTCCTCCTCCTCCTCGTTCCCCACTCCTCTTCGTCCTTCCTGCCGCTCTTGCCGACTCCGTCTGGCACTTGACCCGTCTTCTACTCCAATCAGATCCACTAACAAAACCGCCAGTACTTTGTCCTCCCCCACCTCCCTCCGTTTCCCCCTCCTTCCTATCCTTATCTTCCCATTCTCCTCCTCCTCTGCCATTCCCCACTACTGACCTGTTCCCATATCGGATGCAGGGACGAGTCAGCAGACTTGGCCTGGTTGAGGATGGGAGCGGCGGCAACGATGCTCTTCTCTGCATGGAGGATCCCGCCTCCCCCGAAGCCCTCGAGGCTCTTCAGCTGCTTCTTGAGCTCGTCATTTTCAAGTCCGTGCCGCTCTAGCGCGATGATGAGGAGAAGGAGAGGAACGTCGAGGTCGATCTGTGGGCAGGAAAGATGTCATGGAAAGTCCATCGAGGAAAGAGCAAGGAGCAAGGTTGAAACATGAGATGTATCAACATGTGACATGATTTGAGACGTAGCAATGAACAACAATCAGTCAGAAGTATCAAACAATGACAATCATGCACAATATCAACCAATGACATGATCGCAAGGTTGAGCATTCCAAATCTTCGGCGTCAAATCGCAAAAAGAAATCACCTTTGTGCTCAACTGGGATACCCCTTTGCAGATGCTCGGGAGGAGGCTGAGGAATGAAATCAACGATGACATGCTGTAAAGTAGACTACAAACTTCTTCCGGAAGTGTTTCTTGTCCAACGACGGCAGAATTTTATCAATCGTTCCCAGAGCAGCAAGTGATATTGGCCTGCAGAAACGAGTGAGCACACAAGGAAATCCTTTGATATTCCAACTTGTTCCATCCTATTAGAGGAACTGATTGCAGGATCTCCAGCAGGGATTTGGAAGCTTGTTCACAAGTGAGCATAAATGCGATTATTATAGGCAAAAGATTTCACACACCGATTGCATTTAAATCTTCTTTGAAACAATCATCCCAGCAATTGCATAACACCAAAACTGTTTGTTGTCAGTAAGAAAAGAAAACGGAATCGAGGAGACGAGAAGAGAAGAGAAGAGAAGAGAAGAGAAGAGAAGAGAAGA